TCGGCCCTTAAAGGGGAAAGGTTGCCTACCCCTGCTCTAAGCCTCAGAGGATGGCAATGGCAACTCCCTCCCAAAAGAAATGTGCGAAGAAAACCCCATGCTAGGTTCACTTTAGGGCTGTCATAAGTCAGAAATGATATGAAGGCACAACAACATCAACAACAACATCCTAGAGCTGTGTTGATTGGAGAATTCTGGAAATCGTAGTTCAAAAATAATTTTTCGGAGCTCTGGGTCACTTCTATTTCCCCTTTGATTTCAAGAGAGAGAGAGAGAAAGAGAGAGTAATCTATATGATCAACATATCCTTACTGTAGCTGGGCTACATTCTTTTAAAAATATTTTTAGGCTTATAATTTTTTGGCCCAAAATCATTTTGATGAATTATGACAAAGAAATTCCTTAAATTGATCAAATTACAAATTGATGACTACACTTAACTGAATTACAGTGTGGGGGCCCGAGGAAGAACTTGCTTGTAAATTCACACAAGCCAATATCATTGCTGTTCATACTGCCTCAATTACTTAAATCCTATAGAAGGAGACATGATTGCCACATTCTGTTTTTTGGCAGGGCTTTTGAAAGCTCTGTTGCAACTAGAGGTTCAACAGGTGAAACACCCCCTTTCACTGCATTTGCAAGCCCACTGTATTAGGAAGTCCTGATCATGTGGATTTTTTGCTTGCCAGGGACATATTTAAAGTACCAAGAACCCTAAGAGGAGGGAAGGAAAGTGGCATCAGAACCAGGAAAATGCCCACAAGCACATTTATTTGTTACCATCAGCACTGGGACATCTTTGATTTGGTGACAACAAAGGTGCGTGTATGTGCTTTCAAGTTGTCTGTCAATTTCTGGTGATCCCATGGATTTCATAGGGTTTTCTTCCTCAGGGGATGATTTTTCCAGTCCCTTCCTCTGAACTATAGCACCAGATATTTGAGGTTTGGTATTCCTGGTTTGAGTGCAAGACAATGACCCTGGAGACCAGGATTTGATTCTCAGCTCCGCCATGAAATAACTGGGTGACCTTGAGCAGATCACATGCTCTCAGCCTCAGGGGAAGGCAATGGCAAAACTCCTCGCAACAAACCTTGCCAAGAAAATGCTATGATGGGTTAGGTTACAACCTTGGGCTCCCTGTAAGTTGGAAACGACTTGAAGTGCACAACAAGTCAAGACATTTTTATTTATTTATTTAAGCAGGCATTTGATATATAGCTCATATCTGGGTGATTTTTATGCAGCAGGTGGGTTTTAGTTAGGCTTTTAACTTTTGGATATTTTTATGTTATTTTATATTGTTTGTTGATGATTTTGTTTTGAATTTTATTGAAAATTTTAAATGTGTGGGTTGTTGTTTTTTTCCTTTTAATCTGTGAGCCGCCTTGGGTCCCTCCTGGGAGAAAGGCAGCATACAAATGAAATGAAATGAAATAATAACAACAAATTCCTGCTATTTTCTGCTATGGTGGATAGAATTTGCCCATGTGTGGGGGAAGTTCTCCAAAGAATGGAAACCTGAGTGTGCATGCAGGTGCAAAGGTACCAGGTAACCTGCCAGGGATTGGAAGACTCAGTCTATGATCAAGGAAAGGTGGCTGGCCTTACCTTTGCCCAGGGGGGTTCAGAAGGGAAAGATTGACTCAAGGAACTTGAGGTTTCCTACATTATGAATGGATCTGCCCAGCATGTTAAGGACCGGGGCCTACAGCTGAAGGTGGGGAAAGTAATAATAATAATAATAATAATAATAATAATAATAATAATAATAATAATAATAATAATAATAATAATAATAATAATAATAATTTATTTATAGCCCGCCTCTCCCCGAAGGATTGAGGCAGATAACAATCACAAAATATCACAATGACATTAATTAAAAATATTTCCCTAACCCCTGATTAAACCAGAAAACATCATAAAATACAGTCAAAAGTAAGGGAGAAGGAGGAACAGGGCAGGGACGAAAGGAAATGTCAATGTCCAAGCCATGGAGAGTCGACCCAGGTCTGATCCGCGCTGCAGAAATAATCCAATTTGACACTGCTTTAACTGCCATGGCTCAATGCTATGGAATTCTAGGCTTTGTACTGTTGTGAGCTGTTTAGTCTTCTCTGTCAGAGAGCTCTGGAGCCACCACAAACTCCAAATCCCAGGATGCCATAGCAGTTAAAAGTAGTGTCAAACTGCACTGATGCTGCAGTGCAGATTAGACCCCAGTCTGTCAATTTCTGGCTCCAATGTTTGAGGCTTCTTATATTCTGAATGGATCTGCCCAGCATGTTAAAAGTAACGTCGGGAGTGATAAAAACAAAATGCGGCTCCCGACGGTCAGAACGAACTATCAAAACGTTATCGGGCCTTTAAAGGACATGGGAGACCCTTCCCTTTGCCATTTAGCTCTTTGGGGGCATAATCCGTCTTTTCAAATTTGTCCTTGGGTCCTTCGACGAGAGCAGAGCGAGACATACATGCGATCTATCTATCTATCTATCAATCAATCAATATTATCCCTAACTTTGGCTTGACACATTATACATCAAGCAAGAACGCTGTGGAGCTCCTCAAGAAAAGTTTCAGGAACTTCTGGGGGAAATTGGTCCTTTTAAAAAAAGAAGAAACAAAAGTAGCCCCAGATCCTGAATTTTGGGATCTGGTTATTAGATATTTGTTTTTCTCCCACGGGATAAAACCATGGTGCATCTACACTGTAGAGATAATGCAGTTTAACACCACTTTAAGTGCTGTAGCTCCATCCTGTGGCATCCTGGGATTTATAGTTTTCCAAAGGCTCCAGCCTTCTCTGCCAGAGTGCTGGTGCCTCTGTTGTTGTTGTGTGCCTTCAATGCACCCCATCATGGGCTTTTCTTGGCAAGTTTCTTCAGAGCAGCTTGGCCATTCCCATCCTCTGAGGCTGAGAGAGTGTGACATGCCCAAGGTCACTCAATGGGTTACCATGATTGACCTGGGATTCGAACCCTGGTCTCCCAGTGTCCTAGTCCAATGCTCAAAGCACTCCACCACACTGGCTCTCCCAAGTAGAATAGATCCATGGAATCGAGGGGATTCCATCCAGCAGGAGGGTGACCAAAATGGGAATAGGTCTGGAAACCATGCCCTATGACAAGACACTATCAAAGCTTCTGTAGGGAGTGATTTGATAGTGTATTTCTGCATGGCAGAATGGGGTTGATAAAGATGGGGCTTGATGTAACCAAGAGGACAAAAAATATCTATCTACCAAAAGGGTGATTGATGGCTAGAACCTGAAACTTTCTGTACATGATCATACCGTCTTTGCAGCTGATGGTGGTGGAAGAGTCTAATAAGAGTCTATGGGGGGTTGCAGACTGCCAGAAATAGTGCAAATTGAGTCCACTTTAAGGGTTAGGGTTAGGGTTAGGGAACCATGGGAACTGTATTTTATTGTGGCACCAGAGCTGCCTGACAGAGAAGGCTCAATGTCTCAGGAGAAAAAAAACCCAATTCCCATGATTCCCTAGCACTAACCCTAACCCTTAAAGTGGACTCAATTTGCACTATTTCTGGCACTCTGCAACCCCCCTATGTCTCTTCCAACTCTATGTAGTTCGATGCCACTTTAACGTCATGCTTCCAACAGGATTCATGGGACCTGTAGTTTTCTGGAGTACTTAGACTGCTCTTCTGGAGACTCTGAAGTACCCGGACTTCTCCAGCAGAGAATTC